CATCCACAGTTGAATGAAATTTAGAAACAAACCTCTTCATCATTAGGCTTGCAAACAGTTTCTTCAGCCTCTCTCGTATTCTCGATTGTGCGAGGAATCATCTTAGGCGGAGGCTGCAGAAAACGAACAAAATCAACGAATCAGAAAGCTGCAATTTGATCGCTTCTTCAAAGCAAAAACAAATTCAATTACTCTTCCAGACTAAAAATATTATTTTCTTAACCAAAGCAAGATATAAGAAGTAGAAAAATGACACCTCCTCAACAAGCCCCAGTGCGCGCTTCTCCACAGCATCGCCCACCTTGAGCTTCTTTCGCTTCTCGACCTTCTTTTGGTGCTTGAGCTTGGCGTGTAGGGCCGATCTCTTCACCTTCTTCCTTATTATCATGGGTGGCAGTATCTCACTCTTCTTCAACTTCTTATTACTGCTATTGTTGCCTTCATCCCCTCCCTTAGCTCCTTCACACCGCCGTCACTGTTTTTCCTCTTTCCTCCTATCTTTTGCGAAAACTTTTAGCTACCATAGTTGATTTCACAGAGGCAGAAGGGAAGAAGACCGTCCTACAATGCACAGAACCCAAAAGCAGGAAGATAAAAAAAAAAAAAAAAACCAATATAATTAGGTTAGGTTTTTGATTAGGGTATTTGATAATTGTCTCGTGGGCTACAGAACCCAGGCCCATATTTTGGATTTAGGCCCAGTTTCGGAATCCAAAAGTCGCTTTTTCTTTTCCTTTTTTTGGTTGGGGAGGGTTTGGAATTACTTAGAAAGGAAAAACTGTCTTGCTTTTTGTTTTTTCTTTGTTTTTTTGTTGAAAAGTTGTGCCTTCCCTTGTTTAAGAATTAGTATTGTACAGGAGCCGGCCTATGCTCCCTCCTCCGATGACCTTTCGATGTCTATCAATTTCTGGGTCCCTTTCTGGTGATTCTTTTTTGGTTTTTCTGTTTTCTGGTTGTTTGTTTTGTTTTGTGTTCTTGTACAGTTTGTTTTTTCAGTTTCGGCGACCCTCGGCTTTGTTCTGTTGATCTTGATAAGGGCTCGTTGGTTTTTTCTGTTTCTTGTTCTGTTCGGTGCAGATTCGGCGGCTTTCTTTCTCCTTCGACGGATCTATGGCGGCGCGCGCGGGGCATCAGATCGCCTCTCCTGCTAGTTCCAAGGGATTGCTGCCGCCTGATCGGGTTACCGCCCAGCATCTTGAAGCCTGGCGCAATTTCTTCAAGGGTAGATAGAAGGGTGTCCCGTATGGATCGATCGACCGAAGGCCGTGGTATATCCTGAGTCGTTCGTGGTTGTTCGAGTGCTGAGTGCACCTCCCTTCAGCCTCTGGATATGGGTCTACTCTGATCTTTTGTTTCAGTTGTATTTTACTATTTGTTATCTTTGTAGATGTCATATGACGATATTTGTAATGAAACCATTTCGTTATGTAAAAAAAAAAAAAAAATTAGTATTGTACAGTTTAGGCTATATAATAAAGAATTTTTTTTTCCTCACTCGAATATGTGTTTGAAATGTGGGGTGGGGGAATCAAACAATTAGGGCCGAGGAAAAAGGTACAATTTTTCCTCAGCAAAGGGACATACTTGGCTTCAAGGGTGTGTTGTTGCTCCAAATAGCTAGAATGAAGAAGGGTATATCACGGCAGCAATAATGACAATTCTGATAGGATACCTGCAAGACCTAAGGTCATACTTTAGAGTAAATTAAAGGAGCAATAAATCAACTTCAAAAGTGATGATTGAAGGGTATTTATAGTTATTCAAGGTTACTTTTCACGTGGTAAATCTCCATTTATTAATCTTGAAGCACTACAATAGGATGTAGTTTCATGGAGGTTCATGATAGTGCATTAAATCTAGTGTCAGAACATTTAATACAATGCCAATGATGATGTCACTTGGTAGGAACAAAAGGTGGCAAAGGGGAGGTGGTGTTATTTCGATCGGCCATTCGTCCCAGGATTGGATATTTGGCCGCCCATCCAACGGTGGAGTTTGGTTTGGTCCCTCGCAGGGTGTCCCAAACGAAAATTAGTTCTCAAAACCAGTAGAGAGATTTAGAAAAATAAAGTGACCATCCCTATTACATGGTTTATCAAATAAAAAAGTAAATAATTACTCAATCAAGTATATATTTCATTAATTTAAGAAAATTATTAAATTTGAGATAATTTAATTACTAAAACTAGAGAGTTTATATTTAAATATTTACACAAATAAAAATAATTCAAAAAAGGATGCAAAATTCATAAAAATTATAACTTATACTTAAGGTATTGAAATATCATTAAAATAGAGAAAGGATTACCTTATGTAGTTACCCAACGATCTCGATTTTTTCGTTGGATACAATTATCAAAGAAGATCAAATAAGTGGACTATAGATGGTCAAGATAATTGGTATGTGAAGCCATATCATGTTATCCAACTCAGCGTCTTTTGCTGGTTGAAAGTTTCCATAACATGCATATGGCACAACTGCTAGAACTATTTTCCAATTAAATTTCCAATAGTAGAATAATTACTACATCAAACTAGTTAATTATTTCAGTTTTGCCATCCTTTGTGAAGTCATATCATGTTATCCAACAGTAGAATGTTGCTTATTGATTATTGCAGACTAGAGGGAGATTTGTTTACACTTGTGACCTTCCATTACAATCCTCAGCTTCTTCAATTACTTGTGGCTGCTTCAGTTCAGGTTCCTTTGTCTCATTTCTTGCTCTACCCCACAGGAGAATGTACAGGCCTATCACCACCAGGACAGATCCAACAACACTGTTGATTTTCCAACGAAGGATGTAAGGAAAATGAAACATAAAAACATTGGACAGGAATAATATGTGGTGATGGGGAGAAAAGATCAAAGGAACGAACCTTCCAAGGTGTATCTGTGCATGCAAAATGGAGAATTCAAGAATGGCTACATAGATCTGAACCAGGGGAGTGAATGCTGTTGTGAAGACAGGACCCTTCTGTTTCACACACCATGACATCAACGCATAGCATAGACCTTGTCCCACTGTTCCCTGTGTCGTACAAAAGAAAAACTATCAAGAACTTTTTCACCTTAAAAGCTTAAAATTAGTAGTTGGGGGCTCAGAATAAGTATTAATCTTCCAGGTAGAATACCCATGAGATATCCTTTTAAATTTGGAGGACTTACAGTATATGTCACAGTGAGTATTTCCAACTTTCCCTTCAGAATCCACTTGGAAAAGTCCCTCTCCATGACCAAGCTCAAAATGGCTGACTGAATGGTGCCAAAAAAAGACATAAAAGCTGTGCTAGAATATTGACATGGATACTTCTTGCCAATCCTAGCCTGCAAAAGGAACCATGATGACCACAGAATGCAGCTTGCTGTCAAAAATAATGAACCAATGGTCCATTTCTCAGTCTTCTTAGTTGAATCTGTCATATTCCCCTGGCCTGTCACGGCTGTTGTGGCTCCTGACTGTGGACTGCCTAAGGGCAATCCTTTGTAAAGGGTCAATATCATGGCTCCAGCAACACAAATAAGTGTACCAAGAACCTTAGCCCTCCCAGCATTGGTCCTGATGTTTACTTTTTCCAGGCTGAAAAATATTTAGCATCAATAAGTTTGCAGGAAAAACTCAACTCAAAGAGGTGGAATTTTTGTTTAAGCCTTACCCAAATGGCAGTGCAAGCATGAAGGTGACTGCAGGCACCATATTAGTGAATGCACATGCGAAAGTAGTTGATGTATATCCAAGTCCAACAAGGAATAAGTATTGTGTCAAAGTGAATCTGGAAACATCATATATTTATCATTTATCAAATGGTTATAGAAAATCATAAGAATTTAAGTAAAAAAACTCAAAATATCTACTTCCAATCTTACCCAAGAAGAGCACTGACAAAGAGATGGCATAGGATATTGGTGGTAAGCTTTGGTCTACTTCTCCTGCAAGAAAACTAGCTAACTTCTGTAAGTACCTTCTTAGAAAATGCTGAGATGGTGTCTGACAAAAAGGAGAACTTCCTCCAAATATTAGTAAGGTTAAATGGCTGTTTTACCTTTCCCAGAAGTAGGCAAGTGGTGCCAAAAACATGCAAGAAACTGCCTGCCGGTATGTTACAACGATCATATGGTTGACTCCTCCTTCAAGGATCTTCTTCAAAAGCACATTCACTATAGCAAGTGCAAAATTCACAGCCATCATGCACACAACAGGCTTCCACAGCCCAGAAGAGTTCATGTTTCATTACCCCTGAAACAAACTACCACAGATGTTCTTTTACCTCTCTCTTACCTGAGTCTATGGTTCATAAACACCATGGAACCTCCCAAATCAGGTATTTCCATTTATAGAGCAAACATCTTAAAATTCCATAATGGGAATATGACTTATCCGACATATTCCAGTTACATCAAAGTTTTTTGGGCAATCAACTTTGTCAACTTTTTGATACCATTCTTCTTCTCAATTGTTTCTCCATACCTTTTACAACAGTATTGTTCAAAGATAACAGAACAATAACATCGCTCATCATATCACCCCATATAATCAATGTGCTCATAAAACACATCCAAGTGGAGCTCCTTTTCCACCATTAAAGATCATGATATTCACGCACTGTTAAAAGTTGCCGGCAAATTGACAGAAAAGACTGGGCATCCAATTTATTTGGCTTAGCATCTAATACTTCAAGAATGTATTTGACCACTTAATTCAGTTACTGGGAATTAGAAGAACAATGTGTCAAGTCATTGCATTTAGCAATGGACTAATATAATACACAATATTCAGAATCAAGAAATCCGATGCCTCTTTTCTTATTCCGATAATAAATTTGAGAACTTTAGCATAAAGGATGCTGGGAGACTGCTTTTCTATTTTGGAAATAAACACGTTTTTTTTTTTAATTCAATTCCCTTTTTTAGCTAAATTGGGAGCCAACATTTTAATGTAAAAGGATGTTTTTTAGAGGACATGTTAAAAAGGCACATTTTCATGATAAATATATATATATATATATATATAAATTGACATTAATTTTAATAAAGATTTTTTTTTACCCTTTTAGAATATAAGACAAGAATATATTTATTGCATCTTTTAATTATAAATGCATATAAAAAAAGTAAAAATTGGTATTAATTTTAGTGTCAAGTGAATTTAATTAAACAATTGAAAATTAAAAATTAATTTTTATTTTTTCAATATAAATTTATAATAAAAAGGAATACACTTTTAAGGGTACATATTATTAATAAATAATTAAATTTATAAGTAAATAAATTTATTAAATAATTAAATTTATAAGTAAATAAATTTATTAAATAATTAATAAATTAAGTGTAATTTTTTTATTTTTAATATAAATTTATAATAAAAAAAATATATTTATTACACTTTTAATTTTCTGTAAAAAAAACCTTTAAATTATTAATGGATTATTCTCAAAATCCTTTCAACTTACTGGGACTCGAATATAATTTCCTAATTTTTGAAGGGTCAAATTGATGTTTAAGGAATCAACGGCTGGTATGAAATTGAATGAGATCAATGGTCATCACCACCTCCGAAGAACTAAGCTACGCTTCGCCACTGCAGTTCGTTTCCGAGGCGGGTGACAATCGCTCGCTTCATCTCTGATACTGTCGTTTTGCTTTCCTCCTCCGCAATGCAATGCGCCATGGAGGAGCCACCTTATCTTCATCCTCCTCTGTTCTTCTCAAAAACCCATCAGCTCACTTGGGCAATATCCTCCTCATCGCCTCGCTCACCAAAACCCTATCAGAATCCGGGACTCGGAACCTTGATCCCAACTCCACCCCCATCTCGGAGCCCCTGGTCAACCAGATTCTCCGAAAGAATTCCCTTGACCCTTCCAAAAAGCTGGACTTTTTTCGATGGTGTTGCTCTCTCAGACCAAAGTTCAAACACACTGCGGGCACTTACTCACACATGTTCCGTACCCTCTGCAGCGCCGGATTCCTTGAGGAAATCCCGAATTTGTTAGTTTCGATGAAGGAAGATGGCGTTGTCGTTGGTTCTGAGACTTTCAAGTTCTTGCTCAATGCGTTTATTCGGTCTGGTAAGTTCGATTCTGCACTTGAGATTCTTGATCATATGGAAGAATTGGGTACTAACTTGAATCCCAGTGTGTATGATACTGTGCTCGTTGCTTTGGTTAGGAAAAACCAGGTGGGTTTAGCGTTATCTATATTCTTGAAGCTTTTAGAAGCTAGTAATGGCGTTGATAATGGGGATTCTAGTTCGCTCCCGGGTTCAATTGCATTTAATGAGTTGCTAGTTGCTCTTAGGAAAGCAGATATGAAGGTAGAATTTAAAGAAGTTTTTGATAAATTGAGGGAAAAGAAGGGGTTTGAATTGGATACCTGGGGATACAATATATGCATTCATGCTTTTGGTTGTTGGGGTGATTTGGTCACTTCTTTGAGGCTCTTTAAAGAGATGAAGGAAAAGAGTTTAACTTCTGGGGAATCAGGTCCAGACTTGTGCACCTACAATAGCCTGATTCACGTGCTTTGCATGGTTGGAAAGGTGAAGGATGCTCTAGTTGTGTGGGAGGAATTGAAAGTGTCTGGCCATGAGCCGGATGACTTTACATACAGAATTATCATTCAAGGGTGCTCAAAGTCGTATAGAATTGATGATGCTATAAATATATTCAATGAGATGCAGTTTAATGGTTTTGCACCAGATACCATTGTATATAACTCCCTACTGGATGGATTATTCAAGGCAAGGAAGATTGCAGAAGCATGTCAGCTGTTTGCGCAGATGGTTCAGGATGGAGTAAGGGCATCGTGTTGGACATATAATATTCTGATTGATGGGTTGTTCCGGAATGGAAGGCCTGAGGCTGGTTATACTCTGTTTTGTGATCTGAAGAAGAAGGGGCAGTTTGTGGATGCCATCACTTACAGCATCGTTATATTGCAGCTCTGTAGAGAAGGTTTGCTTGAGGAAGCTTTAGAATTGGTGGAAGAGATGGAAGCCAGGGGCTTTGTTGTAGATTTGATTACCATAACATCCCTCTTGATAGGGTTTCATAAACAAGGAAAGTGGGATTGGGCAGAGAGGCTCATGAAGCACATTAGGGATAGTAATCTAGTTCCACATATTCTTAAGTGGAAAGCCAATCTGGATGCTTCAATGAGAAACCCACCAAACAAAAGAGAGGATTATAGTTCCTTGTTCCCAACCAAAGGAAGCTTCAGTGACATTGTGAATTTAGTTGGCCCTGATGACCAAGCAATGAACACCAACCTGGGTTCTGAAGATGATGATAGAAACAACAAAGAGATTTCATCAACTGAAACAGATCAGTGGTCATCATCCCCATATATGGATCAACTGGCTAATCAAGTGAAGCCAGATGAACGATCTTCGCATCTGTTTTCACTGAAGAGGGGGAAAAGAGTTCAGGCAAAGCAAACTGATTCATTTGATGTTGATATGGTGAATACTTTCTTGTCCATTTTCCTATCCAAGGGAAAACTGAGCTTAGCCTGCAAGTTGTTTGAGATATTCACTGACATGGGTGTGAATCCTGTCAACTACACATACAATTCCATTATGAGTTCATTTGTCAAGAAGGGCTATCTCAATGAAGCCTGGGGTGTTCTTAGTGAAATGGAGGAGAAGATTTGCCCGGCAGACATAGCAACCTACAATCTGATAATTCAGGGGTTAGGGAAGATGGGAAGAGCAGATATAGCCAATTCCGTTCTGGATAAGTTAGTGAAGCAAGGTGGTTACCTTGACATGGTAATGTACAACACCCTGATTAATGCACTCGGAAAGGCTGGTCGCGTGGATGAAGCAAGCAAGCTTTTTGAACAGATGAGGACTAATGGGATCAACCCCGATGTTGTCACTTACAACACACTCATTGAAGTTCATACCAAGGCTGGTCGATTGAAGGATGCATACAAGTTCTTAAAAACAATGCTGGATGCAGACTGCTTGCCAAACCATGTTACGGATACCATCTTGGATAATCTGGGCAAAAAGATTGATAAACTGAGGTACCAGAAGGCATCTTTTGTGCGCAACAATAATGACGATTCATCCTGAACAAGAAATTTGTTACCATTGTAATTTCATTTTGTTTCCTGCAATTCGATTTCGCTGAGCTTTGTAGAATTCAATGTAATTTGACTAATTTCTGTTTGTTCTGTGTTAATTCAATTATACTGGACAAAGGGTTTGGATCATATAGAAATATATTAACACCAAATAATAGAAATTTATATATCAGAATTGAAAGAATTACAAAAGAATGAATGTATACAAGATATAACAATCATCACAGAAGAATCTCAGCCGTAGAATACAAATCTCTTCCATCTTTTACAATCAAAAAAGACCACACAACACGAAGAAACCGAGCAAGATCAGCCAAACAATATGCACCAGAAGCAGCGCCTGACCTGGTAATGAAGCACTGCCGGCGTTGCCAACCTCACAAAACCCTAATTTTGCAACGCGAGTGCCGGCACACATAGCATCGGCACAACCGCACCAGTAGGTAACGCCATCGACACCGCAGACAGGTTCCGTACTAAAGCAGCTGACCGGACACGACGCCGGCTTCGCAACTCGTGCGCAAACCCCGTCACTGTCATCGACGTCGGTCGGTAAACGGATCAATCCTGAAACATCGGA